AGGGTAGTGTGATTTAAATCGGACTTTGAGCACTTTTGCTCACTTCTTACTCTTCTTGGGGGCGATTTTGGTGCTGGTTAGTGAGGGGATTTCCATCAACTAGTTGAGGTAAGTAATTCCTATCAAATGTGAGTTAAATACATGGTTTATGGGTAGATTATAACATGTAAATTAGTGAAAATTTTGGGTTTAGATGAAAACCTAGGTTTTTGATAAAAATGGGCTTTAACCACGATTCTTACTATGGAATTTAGTAAAAATTATATGTTTATGTTTCTAAGGTTATGGGAAATAACTTTCTTTAAAAACTTCCGCAAATCCGAGCATGTGGGCCCGGGGTGAATTTTTGGAATCTTGCAATTTAAGTTGGGTAATCACTTAAATGGTAGAATTATGAACCTTTACGCATAGATTGATTAGTTTATGTAATGTTTGACTAGCTTCGAGTCGTTTGGTGTCAAATTTGGAGATTTGAACGCATTCTTGAATTGGAAAGTAGGTTTTGAGATGAGGTAAGTCTCCTTTCTAACCTTGTAAGAGGGAAATTACCCCATATGTAAACTAAATAAATATGTGTTGATGTTTGTNGGAATTTGGAATTGAGGAAAAATAATGGGATCTTAAAAATTTTCATTTGAATGTCGTATTTTAAAAAGAATGGGAGAGTACTATAAAAGTTTATGATATTCTTTGTGTAACCGCATCGCATGTATGATTCGTGAGCGGGGTAATTCCTTAAATTTATGTTTGACCGCGACGCATGTATGATTTGCGAGCGGGAAAAATAGATGCATCTATGGTTCACGTCGTTCGACCCTCGACAGTGCACAGTTTAAATATTTTGTTGGATTGGGCCGTACGACCTCGGCATAATTGCGCATGCTAATTATTTGAAAATTTTTCATGGTTTATTCTATTTAAATGCCTTGAAATGTAAGTTGCTAAATGGTATTACTGAAATTTAAGTTATAATTATGAAAGAAAGACTTATCTCTTCCTGTTGTTGAACTGACAGTATCATTCATGATATCCATGCTTAGTATAATGCTTTAAATTATATTATTATTGGCCTAGTAAGTGTCAAGTTGACCCATCGTCACTACTTCTTCGAGGTTAGGCGGGATACTTACTGGGTACATATTGTTTATGTACACATATTATGCTTTTGTACTTAATTGTACAGGATCTAAGGCTGGTGCATCTAGTTACCCGCCCGGCACGCATACCTGATTTTGGACCGAGAGTTCACGGTGAGCTGCCCTTCTGAGCTGTTTAGAAGCATGCCGGAGTTTCTCTTTTATTTTATCTGTCTATTATATTTCAGACAATAGGATAGCTATCTTTTGTATATTCTACTAGTTGCCCACATACTTGTGACACCAGATCTTGATACGTATTAGTAGACTTTGATTTTTGGGTTGTAATTCGATAGTTATAACTGCTTTTAGGTGTTTTCGTTGTTAAAAATCCTTTATTTATTAGATGCTTTAAATATAAGTAAAGCTAAATGTCGGAATTTCTTAATAAATAAAAGAAAAAGAATGGAAAATCACTAAGTTGTTCACTGTTGGCTTGTCCAGCAAATGGTGTTGGACGCCATCATGACCTGACATGGAGTTGGGTCGTGACACACCCATACCAATTTTATCAAATTTCGATAACAACTCGACCTCCAAATCTAAAATTTTTGTTCTTGAAAAGTTCTGCAAAAATATTGATTTCTTCCATTTAAATCCGAAATAAATGATGAATATAACCATGGATTTATGAAATATAATCACTTTTGGATATAGGACACCTACCCAAGTCGAAGTTGTGAAGAAATCCCCAAAATCGCCCAAGAACCGTGCTCCAAATATCCAAAAATGAAATGAAGGAAATGACCATTTTTGGTCCTTAAGTTTCTACCCATCCGTCACTAAAAGTCCATTTTTCGTCACTAAAAGTCTACACCAGAACTTGATTGCACCAGCAGTTATTGTTTTCACTAAAAAGGCTCTAACTCCATCATACAAACTCGGAATTCGACGATTCTTGTTCCTATGAGTCACAAATAATATACAAACCTAGTCATTCAATTGAAACTCAATTCGAAGCTCATTTTCTTAATGCGATACCAATTTTGCCCGTTAAACAATTAACTCATATTTTTCGCTAAAAACCCAACCGCGACTTGATGAAATTAGACCAAACTTTCCAGATCACTCCTATAATTCATTATCAAAATCCAGAAGGCTCGAAATCAAATTTCGATCTCTAGAACTAAAAATTGACCTTTGGATCATTACAAACTTATGTTAAAAACATCAAACTCTTCCAAAACTCTTCCCCGATAGCATGTAGTATATGAACCATAACTTCTTATACTCAACTCCAACTGCCAAATGGTTTAAATTTCTGCAAACTAGATACAAAGGGTTACAACTTTCATGTTTTTCCTATTGCCGACCTCCTTATATATTGCGAGATATAAGCTTCCAAAATCAGTCATGTGCAGCAGAAATTTCGGGCGATGCACACTGTTGTAGCCAAAAACTCCAGTACCAGCTTTAGTCAATCAATCATAACTTTTTGTATAAATGTCCGAATGATAAATGGTTTATTATTCTAGAAACTAGAATCAAAGTAATACAACTTTCATGTTTTGATAATTTCCAGATTTCTTATAGATTTTGAGATATAAGCTTCCAAAATAGGCTCCACGCATCAGAAATTTCTGGCGAAACTGCTTTACTAGCCTTCATTCAGTCGACCATAACTTTATGTACAGACGTCCAAATGATAATTGGTTTAACTTTCTGGAAACTAGAATCAAAGAGCTACAATTTTCATATTTTGAAATTTTCAGATTCCTTATAAATTTCAAGCTATAAGCTTTCAAAATCGGCTCTGCGATTGTACTAATTGCTGTCAAAAAACAACTTCTGCAGCAGAAAAACTCCAGCAGCTCCTTTTTCCGAAATCCATTCCGTTAACCTTCCGAAATCATTCCGTTAACCTTCCGAAATTCACCTGAGGCCCTCGAGACCTTAACCAAATATACCAATATATTAAAAAATACAATATGAACTTAGTTGAGGCTATAAACCATGCCAAACAACGCCGAAATTACGAATCACGTATCGAATCGAATTATGAGTTTTCAAATCTTCCAACTTCTATATTTTGTGTCGAAACGTATCAAATCAATTCCGATTGATCTCAAATTTTGTACACAAGTCATAAATGACATAACAGATCTAAGAAAAGTTTCAGAACTGGATGCCGACTCTGATATCAAAAAGTCAACTCCCCGGTCAAACTTTCCAAAAATTCAACTTTCGCCATTTCAAGCAAAATTTCACTACGGACTTCCAAAAAATTTTCCGGATATGCTCCTAAGTCCAAAATAACCATACAGAGCTATTGGAATCATCAAAACTCCATTTTGGGGTCGTTTACACATAATTCACCATCCGTTCAATTATTTCAACTTAAGTTTCCAAAACAAGAATTGTTCTTTCAATTAAATCTTGAATCATCCGAAAATCAAACTTGACCACCCTCGCAAGTCATAATACACATTTCAAAGCTGATCAAGACCTTAAGCGGCCGAACGGAATGTAAATTCTTAAAATGACAAGTCGGGTCGTTACAGCAGAGGTGCGCAGTTTCTATGCCGACATGTTCACCGTAGAAGATGACAACATATGCCTGAAAATGAATGTTGTTGATTTTGTGATGGATGAGGTTGTGTTGGGAACAATTCTGGGAATTCCTACTGGTGGCATATCATCCATTGAGGGGACTTGTTCTCCAAACTTCATAAATGCTATTTTGAAGGATGATGCAGTACAGCAGGGGGAACGGGTACACAAGAAGGACCTCCTTCCGGTGTACCAACTATTGTTTAAGATGGTGAACAAGATTTTGCTACCACGCACAGAAAGGCATTCCATTACGTCACGAGCAGACCTTTCCTCATGGAAGCAGTGGATGCATACTCCATTATCAATCTGCCGGGCATCATGATTGAGTGGCAGATTTTAAGAATGGTAATCATGGGTTGCCCTACGAGTTCTTACTCACTATGGTATTTAAATTCTTCAAGGTCCCTTTGGGAAAAGCTACAGTGGCTACTCACAAGCAGACCTTCTCCAAGACCACCTTAGAAGAGTGTGAGTGCATCGATAAGAAATGAGGGGTTAGCAGCAATTTAATTATCTCTTAACTTATTGGAGCTTAGAATCTTGCCAATGAAGAGATAAGGAAGATGAAGGCACGGAATGTTATTCAAGAGGGACAGCTAAGTCAGGCCCAGGAGGCACCTGGTTCCAGCAGTACACAGGGTGCAGAGTTTTGCCCGTCTGACCAAGGAAAATGCTGATCTCAGGAAACAGGTCGAGGACCTGAAGGAGAGGTTGCCTAATGAGCAAGTGTCAGCAAATGCTCGAATGGATATCCTCCTTAGAACCCTTGCCTCTTCATCTCTGCCTTCCCTTCCAGTGCTCCTTAAAATCGTTCCCTTCCCAGTGTCTAGTTCAAGTTGTCTATCCTCTATTTTGGTCCTTTTATTTTGTTGTGTGTAGTGGCTGGTACTTTTTTAGTTGTTTTATTTTGTGCATGGTTGTGTAACAAATGGTACTGCTAATTCTTCTCCCTTTTATGAACAATTTATTAGAATCCCGTCCTTTTTACTATGCATGCTATACTTTTATGCTCTATTTTTAGCCATGTTTGTGTGCACACATGTGGTATGAGTTAACCATGCTAGACTTCGTTTTGCTTATTACTTATGAATAATCTTTTTATGATGCCAAAAGGGGAAAAATTAATTGAGGGGGAACAAGTTAAGGGGGAATACAGGACATACTATGGTACTTTGGTCTTTGGCTCTCAGGGGGAACTGTTCTCAGGGGGAACTTGTATTACAAGTTTGTCATCATTAAAAAGGGAGAAATTGATAGGCTATGTGCCCTGTTACATTTTGATGATCTAACAAACTTAATGATGAGAACCAGATGGGGAACCTGTTACACATCCTCAAAGTGATCAAGAACAACAAGTATCAAGTCAGACACAATTTCCAACAATCAGAGTCAAAGAGACGACAGGAGGAACAGATGGACATCAGTTCCCTTGCTGACTATTCCAGTCAACTGCTCACAGCTGTAAAGTTGCTGCAACTGTTCCTTTGCACACACGCAACAGTATGACCAGTGTAGCAACCACCTTCTAGGACATGCCTTGTATCAGATATTTCTTGCATCATCCAAGTGACATCACTTGTGCAATATTAACATGAAGCAAAGGAAAAACAACACACTTGCACATTCCAGAATTAATCAAGCTTCCTCTCAAGTATGTTGCTTACTTGCAAGTGATTTCGAGGATTCAAGAACAAAGAATAACATAACGAAGGACCAGTTTCCAGCACTGTATTATTATATGTCCCTAGTTGTGTTGTACCTTTGTTAGTGTGATTTACTTGTAAATCCTACATAGCTTAGCTAGAAGCATTGTATAGGAAACCAATTGTAAAACCATAAACCTCGTGTTTGTGTCTTGGCTAGAGTTAGTCGAGTTGTGAACTTTATAATAGAGTTATTACAAAGAGGCTTGTAATAGAGTTATTACAAGTGAGTGAGGGATTAAGAGTTTAATTCCTAGGTTACAATAATTTGTAATCTAAAAGTTGCTCTGTTAGTGAAGTTGAAATCCAACGAGTGTAGGTCATGGTTTTTAATCCCGTGAGTTAGGAGTTTTTCACGTAAAACTCTGATATGTCATTTACTTATCACTTTGTGTGTGCCCTGTGGGAACTGATAGAGAACCCGATTCTTTATACAGTTTGATGGACCCTAAATTTCTATCACGCTCTTCATGGTCGCTATAAGCACATCAAGGTTGATTCTTATTTTGTTAGAGAACGTGTCTCCCATGGTGATCTAGTTGTTGATTATATACCCACTCAGCTGTAGCATGCAGATACTTTTACCAAATCATTGTGGGCAACTCGGTTCATGTTTCTTAAAAGTAATATGTTTGTGCATCCGCCTCTACCGATTGAAGGGGCGACGTAGAGGATACTCTTAGGATATTCCATTGCATAAGAAAACCAAATACGTCATTTGTACCACTCTCAACTATATATATATATATATATANTTAAAAACACCAAAATACCTTAATAAAAAAATGTGCCTACAAACAAACCCCCAAATCAACGTTTGGTACTCCTCACTAAAAGTCACATCCCTTCATTCAAAACTTATCTTCAAATTTGATATTATTATCTATGGATAGAGTAAATTGTATCTTGGACTGAGAAGAATAAGTGAAGAGAGATTAATAGATAATCATGATGAATTATTTCTCTTTTCGCCATAAAAGCCTTTATCCCCTCTATAAGAAGATTGCCTTGTGTGGAAGGTTGACTCTGAACTTCAGTCAATGGGAGGAATCCCCTTATCTAAGGTTCTTTGTATGGCACTCTAAACTCTCTTTCTTACGCGAGACAGAAAGTGTAACTACCGAAGCTCTTTCAACTTGTCCTGTCTTTGGATAAGTATTGCGGTTAAGTCAGTTAACAAGATGAGAGTCGGAAAATTGAAATAAGAACTGTCAAGTGATTCTTGAATGCTTCTACTTATGTAGATGGAGTCCAGTACGCTACTATATATACTTAAAATTCCCAAGANTTAGAATAATAAAAAGATCCATGGCTTTCACTAATGCAACAAATTGAAATTCTCTTCTGCTTATCCATTGGCAAGATCATCATTGCCACATGGCCAACACACGAAGGAAGAACAGAAAATTTCTCATAAGTATGTGAAAGGATTCAAATCGAAGGGATGCGCCTCTTCAGAAAATTAGAAGATTTTTCCCCTACAAGACATGACTTTAACTACAGGAATGACCACAGCATCAAAGCAACAAATCAAAAAGAGACTGTCGAAAAATTCAGATTTTATTTTCTTAAACTCACTCCTCTATACAATTTAATTTCCTAACATTGTGATTTTGGAAGCATTAAATACATATTTGTTGTATTAAAGAAAGACATATTAGTTAATAGTACAATTAACTTATTCTATTGCTAAGTTAAAATCCATTAACTTATACTATGGTATATTCATAAATTATTTGAAAGTTTACTTTCAAGTTAAAGGATGATACAAAGTGAAATGTATTTTTTGGAAGATCATGTCCAAACTTGAAAATTTAAGATCATGATAATAAATTATATTTGTATTTAAACATTACAACTTTTCTCCATACGCATTGTATGTGTGTCACGACCCAAAAGTCCCACCACGGGCGTCGTGATGTAAGCCAATTATAATCATAATTCAAGCTAATCTTTTTTTTAAAAATATATAATTTAATACAACCTCCCAAGACTGGTAATATTGAGTTACGAACTCTAACTGAATACATGGAATTATCTCGGGGGTCTAATATGCAATATTGTTCGAATAAGAAATTAACAGTACAATAAAATGGAAAGACTCTAAGGGACTGCGATGACCAAGCAATCCTGCCTTGAATCCTTGCGATCATACTCTAATCCCAGTCCGAATCCAATATCTCCAATACCTGGCTCTGCACAAAAATATGTAGAAGTGTAGTATGAGTACACCACAATCAGTACTAAGTAAGTATCAAGACTAACCTCAGTAGAGTAGTGATGAGGTACAGTCAAGACACTCACTAGTCAAATAACCTGTGCAATATAACATACAAAAATAATAGAAAATAAATAGCAGTGATAGCAACACCAATCAACCAGTGATTTAAACAGCAAGGCAACAGGAACACCATAAATATTGTTCAAACGAATAATAAATACAGGTACAACAAATTAACCAAGTCGTTCAAAATATACATCTTTTATTTATAAGTTTTTCAATAAAAGTCTCTAGAATATAATCCTTTCCAATAAATATATTTCGAATATACTTCCTCCAAATAAATATCTTTCCATTATAATTCTTTCAAATAAATATCTTTCGAATATAATTCTTTCAAATATAATACTTTCAAGTAAATATCATTCAAATATGATTCTTTCAAGTAAATGCAAATATAATTCTTTCAAATAAAAGTCACCATGTGACAACTCATTTAACTTCCCTGGTGTGAGAAATATATTAAACATATCACATCAAATGGCACGGCAACACCCTTCGTGCATTTATCTCTTTCTCACCATGCATACATATAACAATACCAACTAGGTGGGAGAAAATTCAATAACAATAAAAGAAATAAAGTGGGAGGCACACAGTAAGCAACAACGACTACAAGTCACATAAAAAAAATAGGCGCATAATAACATCTCAAGATAAAGGCATGAATGTATACACAACAATATGATATCACAATATAATGTATGTCTCTCGTCCTTGCCTGCACGGAAACACCCTTCGTGCCATGAATATATGATAATATAAAAATAATGGCACGACATCACCCTTCGTGCTTTTACTCTCATCCTCACCTGATAATATAAATGAAATGGCACGGCATCACCCTTCGTGCTTTACACTCTCAATGGTACGGCATCACCATTCGTGCTTTACACTCTCAAATGGCACAGTATCACCCTTCGTTCTATACATTCTCCCTCACATGATAATATAACTCAAATGGTACGGTATCACCCTTCATGCTTTACACTCTCAAATGGCACGGCATCACCCTTCGTGCTTTACACTCTTCCTTACCAAGCACATGTATATCATTAACAAGCAAGGTAGGAAGCATAAATAACATCAAGCAGAGTGTTTAAACCACAATACAATACAATAATTCATATCATAATTTGCCATTGACCACAACCAAATTCCAAATATGTAGCAGAATCTATAAATTTCTCAACAAATAGCCTAAGGCTCCACGCAACGTATATAAAACCTCAAAACAATCAACAGAGATAGAAAATACTCAGTATAGGGCATCACCTTCATTAATATAAATTCTTAATAATTATATAAATACCTCTTCTTAAGCTTATTTAATTAATTATTTACACATAGAAAATTCATAATGAAATTAATTTCCAAGAAATATCAAATCATCAATTCATGGAATCCACATAAATATACAAGTCATAATCACATCAAATTGTCATATAAAAATAAATTCAACAAACACGAATTGAGGCATGGCAAAATAGATGATTTAATAAATGCCAACAATTATCCAATTTACTACACAATATGCCTAAGACCTTAACCCAATATATTTTGCACATATAAGCCCGAGTACGTACTCGTCACCTCGTATACACGGCTTTTCATATTTCACAAATGGCACATAAGACTCGATGCCTAAGGGGTAATTCACTCACTCAAGGTTAGGCAAGATACTTACCTTTTTGAAGTTAAGCCGATATTTCAAAATCACCTTCTTACTTGAATTAACCTCCAGACCGCTCAAATCTATCCAAATTAATTGTACAACTTCAATAATATTCATCGGAAATAATTCCGGATAATAAAACGTCGACTTAAAAATTTATTCTAAAAAGACAATAAAAGTTAACGAGGGGCCCGCCTCTCGGAATCCGACATAATTTTCAAGAAATCCGAACACCCATTCCGATACGAGTTCAACCATACTAATTTTATCGAATTTCAATGACAAATCGTCCTCCCAATCTTGAATTTTCGTTTTTAAAAAGTTTTACAAAAATCTTGATTTCTTCCATTTAAATCCGAAATAAATAATGAATATAATCATAGAATCATGAAGTATAATCACTTTCGGATACAGAACACTTACCCCAATCCATATGGTGAAAATCGCCTCAAACATCGCTTCAATCTGAGCTCCATTGCTCCAAATATGTTAAAAGTCGTTGAAACCTCAAAATATAGCTACTGCCCAGGTATTTACTCTTCGTGATCGCGAAGTACAACTTTTCTCAGCCCAAAATTTGTCTTTCGCGATCGCGGAAAATGCTTCGCGATCGTGAAGAACAAGTTCCCAACTCTTCTAGGCAGCCTCTAGTATAATGGTCATAACATTTTGTACAAAATTTCAAATTACAAATGGTTTAACTTTGTGAAATTTAGACACCAAGGGCTGCAACTTTCATGTTTTACTCATCTCCCAGTTCCTTATAGATTTCAAGATATAAACTCCCAAAATCGGATCAGTGTAGCAGGATTTTCCTCTACGCGATCGCGAAAAGGCTTTT